GGCTTTTTAAGAACCAAATGTTTGATAGTAAAATTGATGGTTGTTGCTGGCCTGCTGGCAGGGAGCTAAAACACCTGTTTGCCTTGTGGACTTCTTGACAAATTACTGCTACAAGGTTTTTCCCAGGCGAAGAAGTCCTCCAGTCAGCCTAATTCAAGGGCTGGGGAAAAGAGGCATGTTTTTATAAGGCTCTTTTAAAATTGATAAGGTGGGGACAAAAGGTCTACTACCTGAGTCCTGCTAGGGGACAATGTTGAATTGATGGAACAAAGAATGAGCCAACTGTCAGATTTATGAGATGGGCAAAAAAAAGAAAAAAGGAAACAGATAGTCTCCCAAATAACCTAAGTCATGTAGGGCTTTAAAGATGTCAGCCACTGGCTTAAATTGCACCTGGAAGTCAACCAATAACACCGGCACGATGCAGTCTTCATTATTCCTTGTGTTGCTATATTCTGTATCTTCCAAATGCTTTTCAAGGGCACATTGCAAAGATGCACCTGAAAGCGACCAAATAAATGATTGTAAGAAGTGCCTTCTGACTCAGAAAAGGGTGCAGCTAGTGCCAGATATTCCATGGGAAGGTTCTCCTGGCCACAGCTACCATCTGTTTTTCAAGCTGCAGCTGTGGAGCCTGTAGATTGCACACAAGACCTAAACAAGGCAATCTAGCTCCATTCAGGAACAAAGTTGGATGATTCCCAGCACCAAGTGGCCCACACACCCACAGCTACTCAATTTTGCCTGGTTGAGTTGAGCTTGTTCTTTCATGTTCAAAGTTTCACAGGGTCTAAGCATTGGGACGTGATTGCAACAGCATGGCTTGTCCAGTCAAAGGACAAGATACATACATGTGTATCAACAGTATATTGGTGCTAGTTAACCTTGAACCAGCAATGGACTTACCCAATGGCCTCATGTACATGTAGAATAGATGTGGTGAGAGCATGCAGCTCTAAGGTACCCTGGGAGTGTAGATTTTATTGGGTAGCAGTTTTTTTCCTACACTGTTGCTCAGTTGAATGGTGGACTGATTGTTGCACGAGTTGTTTATAACATTGCAAGAATGGCATTGGTAAGGAAAACCACAGGATATTGGGAATCCGTCTATGATGAGTTGGTGGGACTGAAAATGGTGTGTGAAAATGTCCCATCATCACCTGGTCAATACAACAAGATGGGTTGGAAGCATGAAAAAACAGACTGTACTGCCATGGATTGTGCTCTATTTTCGTAATGAAGTAATACTGCCTTACAATTCAAGTCAGAAAATCTTCACTATCAGTTAAGGTATTTCCTGTTGTAAATCACAAATATTTCCATTTTTTTTGCATGAGAATTCATATGTTTGTACAAGTGTTTTTTATGAAGTGCAGTGGACCAGATTAAATGAGAATTTAAAATGTTCAGCTGAAAGTAAAATAACGTGATGTTTCTTTTGTATGAAAACTTTTTAGCATCCAGATTTCCTAAACCGCTGGTACCATTTAAGATGTCAGTGAAACAGGTAGCATCAGCAGAAATACCTAGGGCTTTGGGTACAGTAAATTTTGCTATTTGTTGATAAATAAGGCATGATGTGAGAAAATGGTGCTGGTCACATAACCATACATGTTTCCCCATCAAATGATCTCGCATGTCCTGATATAAATGCTTTTGGTTATTTCTTCTGTATCAGCTTTTGATTTCTTTCAGAGTAACAGTAAGAAGATAAGGATTTTTTGCTTCTAAAATAACAGTTATCCCAATTAACTGCCAAACTGCTCTAAAAGAATCATTAGCCAAATTCTTAACCAGAATTTGCTTGCAGTTTAGTTTAGATCAAGTGAGAACAAGCAGTGTTTTTCTGCTGTTTGCTTGCTTGCAAGATTGTCTTTATTTTATTAATATTGTTACTCTAAAAGATATTTTTGAAGAGGCATTTGGCTTTGGAACACATCTAACGTTAAGCTACAGCGTTTATTTGCATGAGATTTAGAAACTCACCCCCCAGTCGCTTACTGTGCTCTTTTGCATTTGAAACAAATGGTTGTTTGCAATTGTAACTAATTAATTGCATATGTGATTCACTTCATATGAGAAAAGTTACTGCTGGCCTTCCAATTATTACTGTAATAATTAAAACAGCTGCTTTTTCTGCACTGGCTGAAATTTCATTCATTTCTGATGTATTTTTTTTTTTTATGAATGGAAAGTCTTACATCATTTATCCTTTTTTCCCCCCAGTCAAGGTATTCCTGCCCACCTGATAATTTTCTTACATTTTCCAGCATGTGTTCCAGACAAAGTATGATTCAAATGTGGGCGACTGGTTTACAACTTGATAACACAAGCATGTCCTTACTCATCCCCCTCCATTTAGGGATCCAACACAAATGCAAGTTATATAGTTCAGGGATGTCAAACTGGCGGCCCATGGGCCGGATGCATCACATGCAGTCCACGCCCTCAGCTCCACGAATGGGAAAACTGTCGCGAAATGTCACGTGATGGCAATGTGACGCAGCAAACTTGACACTCATGCTATACTTCTTAGGTTCTGGTGTGACACCAAAGTGTTACCAAGAGTTGATGTGATTGTAGCACAGAACAGAAGAGAAAATAGAGGTAGTCTTTGACTTAACCATCATTCATTTAACAATGGTTCAAAATTGTGATGGTGCTGAAAACAAATGACTTATGACCAGTCCTCACACTTAAGACCATTGCAGCATCCCTACTTTCAGGTGATCAGAATTTGGACACTTGGCAAATGGCATGTATTTACAATGGTTGCAGAGTCCTGGGATCATATAACTGCCATTTGCAACCTTTCTGGAGGGTTTATAGAGCCAGGGTGGTGCAGTGGTTAAAATGCATCATTGCAGGCTAATTCTGCCCATTGCCAGAAGTTCAATTCTCACTGGCTCAAGACGGACTCAGTCTCCCATCCTTTCAAGATGAGTAAAATGAGGATCCAGATTGTTTGGAAGCAATGTGCTGACTCTGTTTAGAACCACTTAATAGAGTGCTATAAAAATATTGTGAAGCAGTGTATAAGTCTAAGTGGTATTGCAATTTCCAACAGGAAAAATCAATGGGAGAAGCCGGGTTCGCTTAACGACTGCAGCAAAAAAGGTCACAAAATCAAGCATGACTCACTTAAGGGCTGCATCATATAGCTATGAAAGTTCCGATTCCAATTGTGGTCATAAGTCTAGGACTATTTGTAAGAAAGGTTGAAAACATAGAAGATGATACATTTGTTTATACGTTTTGAATGTGGGTTAGTTTTAATATTTAATATTACATAGGAAAGTACATATCCGAGCTCCTGGGATTTTTTTATCCATGTTTGATAACTACTTTTTTGTGTTAATGAGGCCAAAGGCAGGAAGTTACTGATAAAAGTATGTTTTGATAAATATCTGCATATTCATGTAAAACCTGCAAATGAAACATTAAATTGAAGCCTTAGTTCTCATAATCTGTTTCTGAGAGAATATTCCACGTATTAAAATAAGGTTAAAATATTGATTTGATTCCTGTGCCTCTTATCCAGCAGCGCAAACATCTTTTATTGTACTGTGCCATTTTTAAAGGATTCTTGAATAAAATCTTTGTAAAAAGAGGAGAAAAAATGCCTTTTTGTAAGCATTTTAAGATTTTCACCATCAAGCAACTTTCTTAACAAACAGATTGCAGAAGGAATACATATTATATACTCTGAAATAGTATCAGATTTGAGGCACAGAAGGCAAATTCAGGGAAGACAGAATCCTTCATTCTGTCTATGTAGATTTCTTTATGTCAGGTCATCATTCTCTCAGAGGCTCTGAACTGGCATATACAGTATTTATTTTGCATTGTATTGTTTCTGTTTCCTCCTCTTACTCCAGGAGCTTTGCATGGAGAAACAGGTTAGATTGTGCTAAATAGTCACCAGTAAGAGCTAACTTCGATGCAATATATAATTGTGTGTGCCCATTACTCAAAACTGCAGTGGACTGTGGGTGTTGTTGAATGTGATTTGTGAATGCAGCCGCTGTGATTTGCAAACCAGGAGTCATAACTTAATATTACTCATGACACCTGACTTGTTTGAAACATGATTAAATGATATCCATTTGCTGTAATTCTTTGCCAACCATGATCAGTACTTTTGTTAAATCATAATCAACTACCCATAGGTTGCTTTTCACAAAAACGGATTCAGGGTGCAGGTCTGTATATTTTCAGTCAAGTGAATCCAAGCAGCTTAAATAGAAATATACTACCCATTGCAAACAGAAAATAAAATCTTATTTAATAACCCCAAACCTTAAACTTCATAAAATTACGATAAATTTTACCATACGGTTGCCAGATACCTCCTCATGACATCCTTAATTCTCTATGGCTGGTAAATATTAGTTACGCTGCCAATTTTTGGTGATCTACTCCTTAAGCAATTTTTTTCATTGTTAATTAAAATAATTTTTATTTTCTGAATAATCCTTGAAGTCAGTGGAAATTGATAAAGATTTCTGACATGGAACTATTTGACAGCCATAAACAAACATTACAAAATTATTCTGGGCAGTTTAATATTTTTTATAGTGCTAATTCAGATGTAAAAGTAGTTCTGCCTTTCCTGGCTAAGGATGGGTTTTATCTAGATAATGAAAATATAAATGATTCCCCCCCCCCAAATATATATATATACACACACACGATTTTTTTTGTTCAAATGGGGAAGGTGCTTTTCAAAGCATCTTACCTGTTCCTTGAATACAAAAAGCCATTTTAAATTGTGGGACAAAGTGACAACAAAGTTATAGTGATAACAAAGTTCAGTAAAAATGTGTCACATTTGGTAACAGAAGAGGGTTTTTTAAAAAAAAAATCCAATGAAGTTTGTGGAGAATCTACCTTACCTATATTTTTTCATCAGAATTATTATTTTATGTGTTCACATTTAAACACTGCTGTGTACTTGCCAAATACTTCTATGCTTATAAATTCCTTTTTTTTAAATTTAGAGAAGCTGGAAGTTGCACCACCATCCACTGGACAACTGAAACATGGTAAATGCTAGTGTTTGTTTTGTGTTATTTGTTTGTTTGTTTGTTTGTCAGATATTTCCGTGGGTTAAGGGATTGAAAGCCTCCAAGAACTGCAGTGTGGCCACTCTTAGAATTTGGCTATTACTTTTCACTTTTTGGTGGGGGGGGGCAGTATTAGCCATGCCAGTTCAGGGTCTATAGCAGAGGTCTCTTCTCTGATGAGGATCTCTTTGAATTCTTCCTCATCTATCTCTCTTACAGATTGGCTAAAATCACTTTTTTAGCTGTGTCCAGAGCAATTCCATCAGTGACTGTCACTGATTCCTCGATGTATGTGCTGCTTTTTCCACTGCATCACCCTACTGCAGATGGAATTATCTAGAAAGTATTCAGAATGGATCTGGCTTTTCAGAGATAGTCATTTTGGGGTTGGCGATCGCTGCGTGCAGATTGCTGGAGGTTAGTTGTATTCAAGAGACTAGGAAAAGCCCCTCCTGGTTTGGGTTATTTATAGAAACAGTGTCGTGCCTGGGATTTTAACCACATTTCGACCCTTATTTGGATAAATAACAAACATTGTCATATTATTTAATATAATTTTGCAAACGGCAATTTAAAGTACTTCAAGCATTATACATCTCTCTTTTGTTCTAGTGTTCTTCCACAATGCAATACCTTTTGTAGGCTTTGGATTTTTTGATAATGCCATTATGATTGCTGCGGTAAGTCATCTTGATACCAATCTTTATGCATACTGAAATATTTGTAGTATTGCAGCAATGAAGCATTGCTAGTTTCAGTTCTGCTTTAACACACCGTTATACCAATGCAGTAACATGCATATTGCTTTGGGGTCTTCTAGAGCAGGGGTGTCAAACTGGATTTCATTGAGGGCCACATCAGGGTTGTGTTTGACCTCGAGGGGGGGGAGGTGTGTTCAGGGTGGATGTGGCCAGCTTGATGTCACCTGTGGTGACTAGGTACTAAGACAGGACTTCTGTCAGACCCTCCCTCACTCTCATAATCTTCCTTCCTTCCTTCTTCCTACTCCTCTTTCCTTATTTTTCCTTCCTTGCTGTCTTTCATCTTTCCCTTTCTCCTTTCCTGTCCCTTCTTGCATGAATTACAAAAGGGGAAATATTTCTCCATTTGGTTTGTTTTTAGTTTGTTTTGCTAGCCCTCTGCCGGCAAAAACTGAGCCAGGGAGGGCTGCACATGCCCCCCCCCGGCCCCATTTTCAGCTGCGACCGCCTCCTTCAACCCTCTGCCAGTGGAAACAGAGCTTGGGGGCCCTCCCAAGTTCCGTTTTCACTGGCAGAGGCTCCACGGGCCAGTTCTAAGCATCTAAGCATCCCGTGGGCCTTGAGTTTGACACGCCTGTTCTAGAGCACGGGTCACCAACCTTTTGGACCTTGTGGAGCACCAAATTCATAATTTTAGATCCCAGGGACCATTAACTGGTTCTGTGGGTGTGACCTAATTTGTGGGTGTGGCTTGGTGGTCATGTGACTGGCTGGACATGGCTTGTATGTAAATATAAATATATAAATATTGAATTTTTTTATAAAAAGCAACTTTTACCCAAAATCAGGCAAAGCAGGCAGGCAGATTGAGTTGCTCACAGAATCACAGATTCATTCAGAAATCTATCTATCTGCCATTGGCTAGCTCAGTTTGTCACATAAAATTTGCTTGCAAGAAAACTCACAAAATTAACTCACAACACGTATGTAAATATTGAATTTTTTTTATAAAAAAGAAACTTTTTATCCAAAATCAGGCAAAGCAGGCAGATTGAGTTGCTCACAGAATCATTCAGTGATCTATCTATCTGCCATCGGCTAGCTCAGTCTCTCAAATTTGCTTGCCGCAAGTCTGCACTGAATTTGCTTGCAAGCAAACCTTCAGTCCTAAGGGAGGTTCGGCTGTGCTTAGCTAGAAAGCAAGAAATCGAACCATTTCCTGCTTCCTAGCTAATCTAAATCTCCCGGCACAGCAGAACAGATGATGGTCGGAAAAAGGAAAAATACCAACTTAGCAGACAAGTTTGCTGGGTAAGGAGTGAGTGGGCGGGGAGGGTTCCTGCAGGCCATGTGGGCGGAGCAGCCTTGTGTTTCTGTGCAGCCGGGTTAATTGCTTTGGGGGGGGGGGTGCGCTGGGGGTGAGATTTCTCTGCGGCCCACCAAAATTTTCTCACGGCCCACCGGTTGGCAACCGCTGTTCTAAAGGAACTGGTGAGCAGGTGTGCCCCACTCCCCCTTTTTACACTCGCATTCTTGAAGCTTTGTCTACATATAATGCGTGGGTGATAATGAAATTCTCTGTTATTTTTAGGGCACACAGATAGAGTTATCAATAGGGATTGTGCTTGGAATTTCTACCATGGCAGGCAAGTAATCAAGGTCATTGCTGTTTATGTGGATTTTTATAGCTGTTTGTTTATCATTGAAGTATCTGTGCACAGTGAAATTCACAGAACCCTTTGCTGCTGTTTGAGGAAAGCGTGTGCTTAACATCAGTGGAAACTTTTATCACGAGATAAAATTAGGAACACTTACATCTTTGTCTGAAGTTTCCTGATATTTTTCTTCTACTTCTTCCTACACAATTTTGGGGAAATTGTATCCGTAAATAAGATGGCATTTCTATTCTTTTTTAAAAATAGCTTTATCTGACAGCCATTTCCCTATATGGATACAAAAATATGGGGTAGTTTATTTTGTAGAAGTAATTGAAAGAGTATGGATTCTTTTTTTTTGCAAAGGGGAAACAATTATGACATACTGTCTGAACAATAATTGGATGATTTATTATTGTCTTTGGAGGAAACAGTGGTTTGGTTTAGTAGCTAAGGCACCTATCTAGAAACCAGGAGACTGTGAATTCTAGTTTTGTCTTAGGCATGAAAAATAGCTGGGAGATTTTGAGCCAACCTACAATATCAGCCTCAGGTGACAAGTCAGTTGATCAATTCTCATTGCAACCAATGGATCAACTGTCAGTTCATTAGAAAAGAAGCAGATCTTGCACTTTTGGGGGGAGGAGAGGAAAAAGTGAGGAAAAGAAAAATACGTATTATTGAAGGAAAGGAGCTTCTATTGACCTGTCCTTCTGTTTGGACTCAGCTTTTTGATTGCTTTTCTTAAAACAGATTAAAGGTTGAGTCACTTGGCATTAAGACCATTTTGTGATGTTGGATTTTGGTTAAGTCTGCTGTTACGGTTTAACAGTCTGTGGTTTAGCGTGATACAATATATACACCCAGATTCCTCATATGAAGAACTGGCCTCCTCGTTTTGCTTCCAGCTTTTGAAGAAATTTGGTTTAGTCTTTACGTATTATTTAATAGTTTGACTTTAGAAAGCTTGGTATAATTTTGAGAAATAGAATAAGCTTTCTTCAAATAAAATAAACACTACTGTACTTAGTTTTAAACTGAGTTTTGAGTGTTGGTTTATTGTACATCAAAGTTTGCCATGATCTTGCTCTAGAGAATATAAACAGTATATTATTGGAGCAGATAAAAGATCTGTCATATCAGCATTCCCTTTCTATAGAGGCCAATGGGATACCTGCAGAAAATAACGTGTAGCTTTCATGATGCTTGATTTCTAGTTGGAGCTAATCATCTACACATACTTATACTAAAGAGTGGAGAACGGAGGTATAATCATTGTGAGACATATAAAGTATTTTACAATTGTTATTGTTATATTAATTTCCTTGGTTCAATTTGTTCCTGGGCTCAAATCAAAGTCCCTTTTTTATTTAAAACCTCTTCTTAGGCCCATTTAAAAGAATTTTCCCCCCTCAAGTTCCTCTTTTGAGGACTGTGTTTCTGATTCTCTGAGTACCCTGCCAAAAATCTGAGAGAGCTACTTAACTTTTAATAGCAATAACCCAGAAATGCTTACTGTCCTAGGGATCAACCATGGCCAATTACTGAACAATTTTGTAAATTACCCTGCTAAATTTGTGGTGTTCTTCATACTTTAAAAAAAAATCATGATGGCTGATTGATGTTATATTTTTATACTATGTTGAAAAGCAGCTTTTATGAGGTATATAAATATATCCAATAATAGTCTTCAGAAGAATTTTAGTTTTAAGCGATAATATGGTTATAAAACATTTTTGGGTATTTCTGCAATGTTACTAATTTATATAATATAATTTTCAATCTATCTAGCTGCTGCCTTGGGAAATCTTGTCTCAGACTTAGCTGGATTGGGGTAAGTTTAATTATATATTTTTTCATGAACTTGCAGTATTTTTCTATAACACCACCATTTGAAGCTCAAAATGCCTTAGCTCAGAATGGTAGCTGGAAAAGCACCATAACAATTTGAGTAATTAACAATCTGATTTGACCATGGAAATGTTTTGTTTTTGTTTTTTAAATTTTGATATATTTATTGGGATTTGAGGATAGGCTGGTATAGAGTAATGAAGCTTGAAACTACAATTCAAGTTAGGGTGTTGGGGCAAAAGATGTAATTTCATAGATTAGTACCTGCCTTAACTTAAGTTCATATTTCCTCATTCTGTTTTGAATTCTAACCCAGTTCACAAATCAAGTAAGAATCGGTATTTATGTTAAGAAGAATGGGAACTTCAGGAGTTGACATTGTAGTATGACCCAAAGAATAATCTAGCAGGGAACTGTATTTTTATTAAATTTATATTCTGCTTTTCCAGGGAAAATTGGGCATTTAAGGAGGTTTAATAAATTTAGCATGATACAAGAATGCAATGATTTGAACCAAAAATATTTCACATTATTTTTTTAAAAGGCAAGAATGATAAAAATACCAAAGGGGAAAGGAGCGGGCTTATATTTTTGCTATACCTAAATTAGAACGTTTATGCAATTATGAATCATGCAAAATATTACATTTAAGATTTAAAATGGTCCCTTTTCTATTGTATTTATTGGTGCTGGGTTGTCAGTGCAGAATATTATACAACATGACTCTTTAATTGCTCACTATTTTTTTAAGCAAAATTGGTATGTTTCAGAGATTCCTGTGCTCAATGTATTTGTATTTTTTTCTCCCAAGTCTTGCAGGCTATGTTGAAGCTGTGGCCTCCAGATTAGGCCTTTCAATTCCTGATCTCACCCCCAAACAAGCTGATATGTGGCAAACACGTCTTAGTGCACACTTGGTGAGTATGTGTGTTGATGGGTGGCAGCACAAGGGAAACCAAGACAGAGAAAAACAGCAACTTTCAATAGTGCCTAAGCACGAGATTTTGGATACCAACTACATATGCATTATTATCTCTTATTCCTGTGGGGGTAAAAATAGAAACGGAATCTTTTAGGGTAGATTATTATGCACCATAATCTGAACACCACTGATTCTAACAAGAGGATTTCTGATCTACTCAATTGCACGTTGTTTCCTGTGCAAAGTGATAAGCTCTTAACCTGAAAACTTCAGCCTGAACCACAGGTGGTCCTCGACTTACAACAGTTAATTTAGTGACCATTCAAAATTACAACAGCACTGACAAGTGTGGCTTTATGACCGCTTTTCAAAGTCGCAACCTTTGCAGCCTCCCTGTTATCATGTGATCAAAATTCAGGCGCGTGTGACCCCCTTTTGTGACCTTCCAACGAGCAAAATCAATGGGGAGCCCATGTTCACTTAACAAACAGGTTACTAACTTACCAGCTGCTGTGATTCACGTAACAACTATGGCAAGAAAGGGAGTAAAATGGGGCAAAATTCACTTAACAAATGTCTCACTTAACAACAGAAATTTTGGGCTCAATTGTAGTCGTAAGTCGAGGACCACCTGTACATAACTTGATGTTAATTGGATGTTCAGTATTGGATTTGATCCTAAATCAACATCCCATTCTCTTTGTTTTTTCCCCTCTTTTTTTTTTTCTTTTTAGGGTAAAGCTATTGGAGTGACCATTGGCTGCCTTTTAGGAATGTTTCCCTTGTTCTTCCTTGGAGAGGAAGAAGACAAAAAACTGGATGGAAAAAAATAACCTTTTTACAATGTTTATCTATACATATATAAACTAATGTACCTCAGATATACAACTATGCTGTCGAAGTATATAGGAATTTAGAGACAATAAGAAGCAGCATGCTATTTTACAGAAGCACTTAACTTATTGTGGCTGTGTCTTAGTAACATCTTTTTTATAAGGGGTTTTTCCTTTTTTTAAATGTAAATTGTTGACATGCGATCTCACCTTAACACTAATGGTTGACCTTTACTGTATCTCCCTCTTTGTTGGTTTCCTTCACCTGGATTGTTCCTTTAATTACCTGTCTGATGCGGTGTACAGCGTTGGGATTTGCATTTTTCTTAGCCTTCGGAAATGCATGGCACAAATCGCCTCTGGATACCCACAAAATCTTCCACTCCAGACTTTAATGTAGTTAGGTGACAGCTGCCCTAGGAAATACCATGCTGTAGCTTTCTTGCTTTTATTTGTCTTTGGGCCATAATTCGTACCCAGGTGACTGGAGCAAAGCCAGTTAGAAGAAATGTGGACGTGTGAAAGGAATGATGGAGAGAGATTTTGGTGAGGCCAATGTACAGATCCCATTTTATGGTCAGAGGTTTCCCCGCCCCCCCCACTCTAGACAGTGTGTGTCACTAAATTACCCAGGTGGCAGCTTAGATCAAAGTGAACCCTGCAAGTTGATATCACCAATAGTAGATAGCATGCAATGCAGCAAATCTGGAAAGTGTCCAAAGCACCTTGCTTCATCAGCAAGTATTGGCCATCTTCATTCTCAGATTTCCAGTACCAAATATTCTCACCGAATTGTTTGTGTGCATGTTTGTTTTGCCATAGTATATCTGAAAATTGGGCTTTATTCCTCATTCGACCCGTGAACTTCCAACCTTGTTTGTCTTTCTAAACAAGAAACAAGCATAATATTAATCAGGCCAAACTCCATTCCTGATCAGAAGGCATTAGGAAGCGGGGTAAAGTTTCTGTTGGATGCGGAAGAGAATTGGGCCAGTATGATGCCGAACAGAAGAGTGGCGTGAAGGGAAGTAGTTGACACAGATGAGAGCGAAGGAGAGTTTAGAAGAAAAACAAAGCAAAATATTAAGCCTCGACTTACATGGCTGTCTCCCCACAGATCCGCTGATTTTAGTGTAAAACAAATTCCTGCCACTGTTGCATGTTTTTGCGCTTTAGCAATTCAGGAGTAATGATATTTGTATCCTTGTCTGTGAATGTCCGTGGGGGAGAATGGTAATCAGGTGCTTTAAAATTGACCCTGCCTGGACGAGTGATTAGTCTGTGCAGAGTTTAATTTACAGAAATAAACTTGTTTACTTTTCATTTAATAGGGTTTCTTTTCATTTTGCCTTGTGCTTGCAGTTTCAATGTGCAGTATTCAAACGAACTGAAACTTCCTAAAGAGCATTATGTTTTCTTGATTATGTGGTGGGTATATTCTAAGCATTTTGTTTTCATTAAATAAAGAGGACCATTTGTTCATCTGATGTTTCCAGTGAAATATATATACTGAAAGACCTAAATAGCCTGTTTGATCACAAAAATTCAGGTGCCTTGTGTTCTGCTATCTAGAAATTTTGCAAATGCAGTTCCCAGCTGCCAATATCAAGAATTGCACTGCTAAAATGACTGACAAATTACTACATCGGAGGAACACTGCAATTCATTGCTGATAGAGGAAGGAACCAAGCCCGAAAAAGGAAAACAAGTTGGGGAAGATTATTTGGGTTGGCTTTAAACATACACAAAAATGTAGAGAAACAACATTGAAACCTATTCTAGTCCTCTATAAATTATGTTTAAAATACAACCACTTATTCTAAATAAATCCCCACCTTAAACTTCCATATAGTTCCTTCTAGTGGGTGAAACAACTTGTCATCTGCATATACTTTTAGTTTCTGGGTGAAACTAGATAAAAAATCTGTAAAGATAGTGAAAAAGAGGTTATTGCCTTGAAATAAAAATGGAAATCCTTTGGTTTCCCCTCTTGCCTCTAACCATGTACATTGGCTGAGACGCGCAAAGCACTAAGCTCGAGTGCTGTGCATTTAGCATTTTGGAAACAACTGAGGGCTGTCATTGCACAATCTAGGGAAAAACAGATGATGAAATAACACTAGTAGACAGATAACATGGAGACTCCTGCCTGGCCTGAGATATATTTTGGTCTTTGAGGCCAAAGAATACTACATCTCTTCAAAGCTACCTTATACATAGCAATAACACTTATATACTGTTTCATAATGTTTTACAGCCCCATCTAAGAATTACAGAGTCAGCCTCTTGCCCCCAACAATCTGGGTCTTCATTTTACTGACCTCAGAAGGATGGAAGGCTGAGTCAACCTTGAGCCAGTGAGAATCAAACTGTTGGCATTGGGCAGAATTAGTCTGCAATACTGCATTCTAACCATGGCTCTTTAGTGAATTGTAGCAACCAGCTACTGTGGTTTGGTTTGTTCAGTAAGCCATGATTAATCAGCTGAGCATGGTAGTTAAATATTATTTTCATTATCCATTTGTTTTCAGAATGTTCAAGAGTTGTTCATAGAATAGTACAATTGTTTTTGGTAGCTCTACATTAATTTTACATCAATACTTGCATATATATTCCTTGTTTCACATTGAATTTTCATTCTGGTTTCAAGAAATTGCATATAAATAGTATGTATACATTTAGTGGTTTTTATTTTGATTTTTGTTGAAATATTTTGCTTCTTTTTTCCTAACCTTTGGCTTAATTTTTTATATTATATTTTTTGAAGGCATTGGAAATCTCCTTCAGATAGATAATACATTTATATGAGCTGACAAACTGATTGGACACAACATCCCATACCCTTTACACAAGAAAACAAAGCCTAACCAACAAGGCAGCAATATTTTGTGTTCATGAAACATATAACTTAAATCTTCATTTGTGCATTTGATTATATTTTGGTTGCTATTATGTATCAACTTACTGAAATGGAAAACATTTTTAACAAAGGAAATGAACTACTTATTTGATACTGCACAGCACACTTGGGCATTTTATGGCCCTTGGGCCACATCCAGCCCTTTGGCTGTCCCTGTTGGGTTTACATGAGATCAGTCGGAAATTAGAAATCAAATATAAGCATGGGCCATGCATGCAATACAACTGCATTGCTTTTATTTTGAAGGTGACTGCAATTTTTATTCAATTTAGCATGCATGCCTACGTACCTTCACGGTCCGTATTTGTTTGGCCTTCCACAACAATCCCTGTTTCTCATATGGCATCTTGGGAAAATTAATTGCCCACCTTTGCACAGCATGTATTCTTGTATGAGGTGCCCCTTGCTGTCATACATTATAATGAATAGTGCCAGTCATCACGATGGGTCCATTAAGTAATTTGAATTGTGCTATTAAAAAATGTGCCATTGTTCAAAACGGGAATGTAGAATCAGAGTCACAAATTTCATTTGACAGAAATTCACTATTCAATTAAATTGGGCCAGACTTTTCATTGGCACTGCAACAGATATGGGTCTCCCAAATATGCAGTGCAGGGGCACATAAAACAGCTAAAGTTCTAGGTATAATCATTTTGGAATGTAAACTAATAGGTAATGAAAACCAGCAGCTATTGACTTACGGAACTTGTCCCTAAAGCAATATTTGTACTTTTGGAGATTTCTTTGCTTCTGTTCTGGGTATGAAGACAGAACCAAGCCTCTAGAGAGGTTAAATTGCTGTTGGTCCTTCAGTGTAATCCTGAAATCAAACACCTGTCAACTCTGAAGATGGCCTGGCTGAGGCCATTTTGAGGCTTCAGTGTTGCCACAATGGAGATGAGGGATAGAGGGGGGATAGAGATAAGGGGGAATAGAAATAGATGGAGTTTTGTAGCTAAAACAAAATACTTTCCCCTGGGAACCAAGGCCATCCCGGCACCTGGTAGAAGAAAGGAGTGATGTTACCAAACAACTGGACAGAGTCGATTGGACCATGTGACTGACTGGTGGGGAAGGGGGAAAAACGCTTACTTTTAATTGTGAAAACCGCAGGAACTTTTAGAGTCAATTTTCACTGGTCTGTGCCAATATGATATATTCAAATAAATTGTTCTTTGAGGAATCTACCTGCTTCAGAGTTCAATTTGCTATGGGTGTATTACTTGCACCCTTGACAACATCATTCTGAAAACTATTGTGGATTATTCTCATTCATTTTCATTGTAAGCTAGAACTGGGCAAAGATTGGGTGAATTGATCAGTTGAGAGCAGTCACTCTGTTTCTGTCTGGACGCTAAAAGGAACTGAAAAGAGGGCTGAGAATATAATCCTAGCATAAAGCGAGGGAAGCTTTATGATACTATTATCTAGCCACTACAGATGCTTTGATGGTTGGCAGCACACAATCAATTCTATTTATTGGAACAGTAATCCTTATCGCACCTATTCCTCTTCACTGTTTTCACACAAAAAAGGGCTAAAACCATTACACACTTCAATGGCTTTGTTATTTGGAAATGGGGCTATGGTAGCTGGCGCTCCCATTTTCATGAAGCTGTTAAGTTTGCGCCTGATTTTTATAAACTTTCCCCCCATGGTTGTTAAGCAAAGCTTAAGTGAAACATGCAGTTGTTCAGCAAAATCCAGCTGTTGTTCGCCGACCGCAGTCGAGTCAGATGAGTCAGAGGAGATGGAGCGGGTGCCTGGGTTACCACCAGGGCCGATGCAAAGCAGGACCCATCTACTCACACCTAGGTGGAGAGACAGTTGTTTTTCGGGGCCTGAGCTGAGCGAGGGGGAGGAACAGCTGGGCCCACAGAGAAGCGCGGAGGGGAGAGCAATGCAAGACTGAGGGCCAGCTATCCAGGAAAAGAAGATGTTAACAAGCCCCTCCCTGGCTGGGATATAAGGAGGAAGGGTGTGGAAGACATGGTTGTCAGAGGAGACATCCATTCATGCTCCAGAAGAGTTCCTTCTGGCAGATTCCTTACCAGGATTTCTTTGCCACTAACAAGATTGGTCAGAACTCTTTGTGTTGGGATTGAAGAAATATTTCACAAGAGTTCTCCACTCTTCTACTCGTTGCAGAATCCCTTATGCTACCAGACTCGAAATTCTAGACCTAGAAAACCTAGAACTACACCGCCTTCCGTCCGATATAAGTATAGTATATAAAATAATACATTGCAATGTCCTACTGGTCAGTGAATGCTTCAGCTTCAACCACAACAATACATGAGTTGGTGCATAAGCGCACCAACGTGCCTACCGTCCCTGTCCTATTGTTTCTTTTATTTTTCTTTTATTTTTCTTATATGTACCCATTTCATGTATTCATAACTATGTATACACTTATACTTATTATCTTGTAAACAATTGACAAATAAAATAAAATAAAATAAAATAAATGAGCAACAATAGATACAAACTCAAAGTTAATCGCACCAAACTTGACTGCAGAAAATACGACTTCAACAACAGACTGATCAATGTCTGGAATACTCTACCTGACTCTGGTTTCTTCCCCAAACCCCAAAAACTTTAACCTTAGACTGTCTACGATTGACATCACCCCTTTCCTAAGAGGTCTGTAGGGGGCCTGCATAAGCGCTCCAACGTGCCTACCATCCCTGTCCTATTGTTTCTTTTATTTTTCTTATATGTACCCATTTCATGTATTCATAACCATGTATATACTTATACCTATTATCTTGTAAGCGATTGACAAATCAAAATAAATAAATAAAAATAAATCATCCCTGTCCTATTGTTTCTTTTATTTTTCTTATATGTACTCATTTCTTGTATCCATAACTATGTTTATCCTTCTACCTATTGTAAGCGATTGACAAATCAAATAAATAAAAAATAAATGAAGGGCTAATTGAGGCTCCCTGCGGGGAACTAAGAGATGGTTATCACCTACGGATGTGTGGCCTGGAGCTTTGTCACTGAATGCCGTGAATTCCTGCCTTTCTAAATTAAAAAGGGGTTTCTCCTCATGAGTAGGCCGTTGAGTGGGGATTGTGAAGGCCGGGTCAGAACACCAGCTTCCCTGCTTGTCAGACGCGGCTGGGAGGATCTCAAAGGGCAGCCACATCATTCCAGGATGGTGGAACTGTGGCAAATACTGAACATGTTAATAATTACATGGGGAGGCACATTAAACAATATTGTTCTTCAGACACAATTCTGCCATGCACCTATTCTCTGTCATGAACCTATTCTGCTTGAGTGTAACATTTTATGCTTGGTTTCTGTTGCACTGAGCAAGATTTGTCATGCTTAAAAGGGAAGGCTTGTGCAACTTTGCAAGAATACATTGGTATATTTACTACTCCTGGGGTTAACTTGAGGTTATTGATACCCACCAGGAATTGGTTATTTTGTGGCTGCTACGCAACGTGCCTGTTGGGATGCACATCACAGCATCATTATGAACGCATATGCTTCCGCTTCCTTTGACTCTTGTCTGTACCAATGATATGCACTAGATCCC